AGACTGATGCCAATTTTAAATTTGCTCATTTTCAGTGCATCATTCACCCTGAAACATTCTGCGCACAGCAATTACAGTTCCAACATGTCATAAGATCAGTTTCAGTCGCTCTCAATTTATTCGTGCCCGTTGTTTAAATCCTCGCCAATTTTCAATGTTTCTGTATGACATTGGACACGAATTTGATTGTGTTCACTACTACACAGCAGTCCGCTGGCTCTCGTTTCATAAAAGTAATGAAGAGATTGTTTGCACTGCGTGAGGAAATTGTATTGTTTCTGAACATGAAAGGTGAACCTGTTGAACATTTCCAAACTGGCGAATTGGTTCTGGATTTTGCATTTGCAGTTGATCTCTCTGGTCACCTGCAAGACTTGAAATTGAAACTTCAAAGTAAAGACCAAATTGTCACAACTGCGTGTGATCATGTGAAGTGCTTTCAGGCAAAATTACGACTGTGAACAAACCAAATATGAAGAGAAAATCTTGTACACTTCTCAACGTGTCAGGAACTAAAAAGATTAAATAGCCTACGGATACAACATTTGGTAAATATGTCTTACACCTGGAATCGTTAGTAGATGCTTTCAATGACCGTTTTCGTGACTTCGTTTCATACGAGCAAGAATTTTCGTTGTTTTTATCTCCATTCTCATTTGATTATGAAAATGCTGCTGATAATGTGCAACTAGAGGTGATAGAATAGCAACAGTTTCTCTGTTGAAATAGAAGTATATAGAATCGGCTGTGCTAAAATTTTACAGTTATTTACCCTGAACTGCCCTGAATATACGTTGAATTACGGAAATTTGCAACCAGAATTCTTGCTATGTTTGCAAGCACTGATCTCTGTGAACTACAAAAACACTTCACCGTTCGAGATTATCTGAACAAAAAAATTTTCATTAGTGATGAAAGTGTCCGTGGCAAACAAACTTCAACCTGACATTAATAAACTTGTATCCCAGTAAAGATGTCAAGCATCAGGACGAAGAAAATAATACATAATCATAGTAATTTTTAATTACTAATTAATACTGCAAATTTAGCTAACTAAAGGACAGGTATGCCATTAGTTATTGTATTCTATTTTATTGTTTCTAATTTACATAAAACTAGTAGGCGGTTTTGTAACTGATTTTTTCCTGCGGCCCCTCAGGTCATAGTAAGATTTTTATGTGGCCCATACACCTTAATGAGCTTGACATGCCTGATGTAAGCTTTGTAAAAAATACTTTTAAAAAAAAGACAATACCTCCTTTATACAACTTATATATATATGAATGTGTCTTTCCCTTTGGCGGTAGAGGAGGCGGCCATTTCCCGTGTGGCACGCTTTTCTTCAAGAGCTGAGGCCCATGTTTTCTCGCTGTCCATAGCTTTCTTAGTCACCGTCTCTCTCCAACGTATATAACGGTCAAACTAGAGTTTTCCTAGTGTTGCCAACGAGCTAATAATTCTTTTCTCAGCGATTTACTGTTAAATTTTTAGGAACATCGTTAGAGCCGTTTTTTTTAGATCCGTGTCCAGTTTCCTCCATAAAGTTGTGACTTGAATAGAGGTATCGTAAAAAAGCATTCTGATCGCATATTTTTCCAGTTGTCATGTTTCGTTTGTGAAATGTTTTAGAATTTTATAGAGCTCAGTCTATTAATTTATTTTATTTCATTTCCTGGGCCACGATCTTTCTAGGTAAATATTCCAGCTTCACAAAACAACACATCGTCATCCACTCCAATGTATATGACATTCGTATTAAGTAACTTGAACATCTGATGTCTACAGATTATAAAAACAGTTGCTACAATGAAAAGCACAGGTATATCAACATAGTAACTGGGCGAGGCCTGCACAGTAAAGATGGCATTCCCAGAATCAAATTGGCAGTGAATCAATATCTGGAGGATAAAGGCTATAAGTATGTATACACATCTACACACAAGTTACATTCTCTGTGAGAGAGTCTCAGTCTGTTTGTAGATCTACTATAAGATGCCCAGTCGTGTGGTAGGCCCTACTCGCTCTGGACTGTCGTTCGATGGTCCTGTATTAAGCCCCTGCACGCTGCAATCCCCTGCTGCAGGTTTGGGCTAGTTAATATCAAATTTGAAGAGACATCCAAAACGTACAAAAGGCATACAGCACATGGTACACGCACTCTTGGGCTCTCTGGAAAGGCGGGTTGGGATAATTACGGTACAGCGAATAGGCCTACCATTTTTTTTTAAAGAACGTTTGTATAAAATCATTTGTGAAAATGGCAATTAAGACATTGTTTATTTATTTTCTAATCATTATTTTTTTTCTTTGTAATTACATTATTCACATACAGTCTTTGATATAATCTTTACATTACTTATTAATTGTTTTATTTTGCTCTAGATATCTTTAAATTATTTCCCCTTGATTTATTGCATTTTCAATATAAAACTAAATGATTTAATCACGATTAACTTATTTGTTGATGTTTTGATTGATTCGTGTATTGTCTTTGAGCAATAGCTTGCATGCAAAATTTGATGATGACGAGCGAATGAGTAGAAGAGGTTGAAAAATATATTGCAAAAAATCTAAACTTGCAAGGAACATAAAGAGTAACTTGTAAAATATAGTGCACAATGCATTTTAAGAAGCTTACTTTTACTAATTAATCTTAAAAAGAAGTGTGTATGTGAAGTAGGATGCGGAGCTGAACCCATCAAAATATATGAAAAGAGATATAATGATATAATTTTAATTTAGCTTTAGGCTTCTGTAGAGCAGGCTATATTGTAGGTGCCCGCAACGCGTACAACCCTCACATGCCCTGCGTGTGCAAATTAGTTTAGTTGATTACTTACTTGTCAAAGTTGATTACTGGTATATTCAAGATTCTCGGCCGTATCGCTATTTGGTACTATTTGTTTTCTTGAGGTTTATAATGAGATGTTCATAAAGCTTTCCAATGTAGTCTATACTTCACACAACCACACAGTTATTTATAATGTGTAAAGACCCACCGGTATGTAAATCTATAGGACGTGCAAAGACCCACCGGTATGTAAATCTATAGGACGTGTAAAGACCCACAGGTATGTAAATCTATAGGACGTGTAAAGACAAACCGGTATGTTAATCTATAGGACGTGTAAAGACCCACCGGTATGTAAATCTATAGGACGTGTAAAGACCCACCGGTATGTAAATCTATAGGACGTGTAAAGACAAACCGGTATGTAAATCTATAGGACGTGTAAAGACAAACCGGTATGTTAATCTATAGGACGTGTAAAGACCCACCGGTATGTAAATCTATAGGACGTGTAAAGACCCACCGGAATGCCCATAGTTTCCGTTATGCTATGCTTATGAGTAAAATAAATTTTGTAAACCCTACACAGCTGCCAATCCTGTGTAAAAACTTGTATAACATAAAGAGAGAGAGAAAGAGAGTGAGAGAGAGAGGGAGAAAGATGATAATGTGTATTGCGCTAACTTCATGTATAAACTTAATGTTTCAAAAAAGAATCCCAATCTACAGCTATTTCATTGCTACACAGAGCTTAGAGAAAGCTATTAAATCTCTAGGTGAATAAAATTATGAATTTACTAGGTCAATATAGAGCAGCGGTTCTCAACCTTTTATATTCGGTGACCCCCTTTTTACAATCCCCCAATCTGCCGCGACCCCCCACACAGCAATAGAAGAATTGACAAAAAGAATCCATATTTTTTATGGTATGAGGCGACCCCTGGCAAATCGTCAATCGACCCCCAAGGGGGTCGCGACCCACAGGTTGAGAACCCCTGATATAGAGCCTCAAAAATGAATTTAAATCACTGTCTAGTATTATGTTTTTAACTTTAATTTTTTTTTAGTTTTCTGTGGGTCAATGCTGGTGGTATGGTGATTGTTGATCTAGCATCCACAACGAGAGCCCAAATATAAGCCATTGAAAGCCTTATCACTAATTGGCCGTGAAGAAGATACACAAGACATGTTGTGTTTGTGATGGCAGCTACACAATTGATTAATGTACAGTTTGTTTTTTTAACTTTTGAATGAGTTTCATCTAAATGGTCTCTTAAATTCAATTGGAGTAAAGATTGCAAAACAAAATTAATAACTTATATTTTATTCATGTATATTACTTTGTGGAATCTTATCTTCTTATCTTATATAATACAGACGTTACTTCAAAAAAGAAGATGATTCAGTCATGCATAATAACCAATGACTTAAATTCTGCCAAGTCACTGGTTTTCAAAATATAGATGAGAATTTTCTTCAATTCCCGTTTTGTAGAGATAGTTTAAAAAAAAACACATTTTCAACTTTGAATTATGTATTAATATATGTTTAAAGTCAACATAACATTTCATTTATTGAAATTAATTTTAAAACAATGACATGGGATGTCACACATTTGTGTGTTAGCCAGAAGAGAAAGACAGTTGCGCATTGCGCAAACCAACCATGAGCTGGCTTGTCACGCCTTAGTGTGCAACTGGAGAAAAGGGCTGACCAGGCTATTCGGTCACTTTGTGGGTGTATGCAAAAGGAAAAAGAAGTTGTTTACTGCTAAACTGAATCATCTTTAAAAACATTAAAGAAATATTGAAGTTAACAAAAAGTAAGTTATAAATATTTAGAAAAGATGGAAGGTAAAGATACAAGTTTAAGAAGCTTGAAAAGAAGACGAACAATGACAAACAATTCAGCAAAGTCTTAGCACTATACTGTATAAGGGACAAAAGAGCTAGATATCTAGCCATTGTTCCAAGTATTCTGTGATAGATTATTGATCATCAGTATCTTCACCGTGTTTTATTGATTCACCAATAATACTTTATGTCAGTCAAGTTATTCTATTTGTACAAGAGATTTTTATTTTATTGTTTGTTTGTCACTGGATTACTTGTTTTATTGAACTGAGTTTGAAAACAATAAACTCAAATAAAATATATTCAACACTTTGTTTCTTCACTGTGTTCAAACAGAGACATTGAGGCTGTTCTGAATCTGAATATGACACAATACTGAGGAGACAATACTACTCTCCAAATAACATCCTGACATGGGATTACATCATGATCAGTCACAAAAATAATCTAAAAGATGATGGTATCTCATAATTAAGATATGTAGTGATGAACTATTCTGTTTAATATGTTTATTTGATGGGAATTTTTAGAATGTCATCCTACAATAACATTACAATTATTTTTTTTTTTTTGAGGCCAGAGAATTCCAAAATGAAATTTCAGAAAAATCTTCAGTAATGCACCAATTAAGAAAAAAAAAGTCATTTTTAACAACGGGATATGTGTCAGAAAAATAATGTATAAGTATTCAGTAAAATAAGTATTCAGTACAATTCAATAAGAAGCAGCTTAAAGTTACATCCAACAGATTTAACAACTAAGAACTGTAATGCTGTTTTATATTTATAATATTTACAATATTTTATTGATTGGCAGGTCACTTCCAATATACTATTCAAATGTACAATAAATTTAATTGATGAAACTCTAAAAATAAAATAAAAAACAACATAATAACATAATAAAAACAATGCAACGTATCATTAAAAGTTAATGAAAGAACTAATAATGCTTAAAGATTTTCATTAGAAAGATAATTATTAATAGCTTATGCGTAAAGAAAATTTTCTTTCCTTTTATAGCTTTGCAAGGAACAAAATGGCACAATTTTTCTTAAAAAACAACAACACAACTATTACTGCTTCAATGCTCATTGAAACATCTTTTATAAATTTAGAAGCATTTAATAATGAAAAGATATTAAGTCTTTCTTTTGTTCACAATGCGCTCAGCAAAATAACACTAATTTAAAAAAAAAAAAAATTGACATAATTGCAATATCTCAGGTTAGTGTGACAATGTATTGCCAATATGAATATTGAATGTGAGCTGGAAAATATCTAATAAGTAGTTTCAAAGTTTCTTTAATTATTCTTTTATTATTAAATTTAAAAAAAAAAAGCCAGTACAAAAATATTTCCCATTTGGCCATTTGCTTTTTAATCTTTATATTAGGTTATGACTATTCAACGTAACTAAGAGTCTAGAATGAAAATGTGTAAAGTCAGAAAACTTACACTGTAATAATATACTTTGATATTAATGCATGTTAGAATAAAACATCACATACAAGAACTATTAAAAAGAACACTTTTATTCTAATTTGTCTTTTTTTAAAAGTATTGCAGGCTTCATTTTTTTTTTTTTTTTTTAACCCTACAATAGTATTATACTATCTAATCTCAACACCTAACTGGGAAGCAGCCAGTGACTCAATCTGCTGATGAACTTGATTGACTTCTTCCTGAGTCAAAGTTTTCTCCATGTGTCTGTAAACAATACGGTAACAATGACTGAAGCTTTTCTTTTTGGGATGCTGAAATTCATCAACTAGTTTGACCTGGAAGTAGGACATGTAACCATTACTTTTACATGTGAACATTATTTATTACCAACATAATATGCTTCCTATATGCATCCTCATGTTTTGTAAAATAAAGAATAAGGTTTTTAATTACTGTCCAAATCTAAAATCTATTCTTTGCACTTTTATGAGGCAAATACTTAAGATTTAATTTTCTAATTAACAAAGTAGTAAAAAAGTACTATATATATACAAATTGGTCAAATGAGCTTTGAAGTAAATTACTTTCTTTAAAGTTAAGTACATGAATATTTAGTAATGAAGAAAATGCTAGAAACATTGAAGTGCTTATACTGTCAAATTGAGGAGTACTTTGATTTAAAATCTCCTCTGCCTCAACCTCAAGGAAAAAAAAATCAAGTGGAGTCTCCTATGCATTGGGACTAAGCACTTTGTCATTCCCTTCTTCAATTGAGTTGGTGCTAAACATATTGCACAGCTGAGGAATGCTCCCTGAAGAGGAAACTCAGGAGCTGCTACAGAGAAACTGGGCCAATAGATGTGTTCAGACAAACCATTGGCCCCTTTGAGAAAGAATTAATTACCATGGCTGAGTGTCACAGTTTTGGTTGACATTGCCTGTTATATGTTCATCTCAAGTCATGAGGGTGAAAGACAGGTGAAACCTCTGATTTAGAAAGAGGAAGTAAGAATGACTAAATTGACTTTTGGTCAGTGGTATCTTTTGGGCAGCCGAAGACAGTAGTCACTTGAAGTCATTTGAGACAGTAGACATATTTCTAATAGTTGCTTTCTGTACTTAGAGCTGGATACATATTCTTGAAGTTTATTGTTACCCACTATGATGCAGTAATGAAGTTATATTTTAAAGGACTTGTATATTTAATGCCGCATTTATGCAGATGTAGTAATATTTCAATTGGATATTTTGATGTAACGACTAGAAGTGCGGTACGTTATTATTATTGAATAAACCTCATATATATCTGCTGAAGATCGACTCCAGTCTTTGTATACTATTCACGTCTGTAACAGGTTAAGTGGACATTCTTCAACATTACACACATTAACCACAAACATAACCTTTACACTGAGTGATAAAATTAAACAAAATTAATGAAAACCGCATTAGCATCTATAAAGTACCTGCTCCACCAGATCCCCTCCAATGGATCTGACAATATCATAGAAGTCACTGGAGGAATAGTTTTCTGGGATCCAGAAAGAGATATCATTAACACACTGAGGGTACTTGCTAACACTCTAAAGGAAACAAAAAAAAATGTTCTTAGTCATTTGCTCATCATTAAATGAATTATTCCTTTGAATAACTTTTATGAAAAGTATTAATAACGACTTTCAAATCAAAGTTACCATTTTAAAAATCTTTTTTTTTTATTATAGAAAGGAGATAATTTTACTAAATTTGTACTATTTTCTGTTACACATTTTTTATGTGTGGGAAATATTTCCTCAATCCTATGACTTTTAGAGAAAGGATATCTGTAACCCTGTCTTTCCAACTCACACAAAAAAATTTGCTTTATACAATTTCAGCCACTCTGTAATGGCAATCAAAACAACTCTCCTAATTAATGATACCATCGTTGATTTGTCCTTATTAGATTAAATTAATTTCTGGTTTTATAAACTTTTATTTGTGTTAAATAAAAAGAGCATGCAGTCTCCTATAATTCTATACCAAAGGTAACGTTTTCTGATTTTAAACAAAACTGTTATTGAAGTTTAATGATAACAGGGTAGAATGTACAAATGTAAAAAATTCAATGCTCTCTCAGAACGTGGAAAAATAATTATGGAGATAAAGAGTTAATATTCTATATATAAAAAAAAAAAGAAACATCAGAATGCACCCAGTTTACGTTTTATGAAAAATTAATCCATTGTTAAAATAGGATATATATCTTTGGTAATCATGAAGATGAGCGTCAAAAATTAATGATTCACCGAAAAATTCAAATTTTTAAAAAATACAATTAATAAATGTAAATAGTGTTTTAAAAAGATTTTCATGTAAAAAAGAGAACTTTTATATTTATATGACATCAACAAAAAGCATTAGCGATGTCAAGGTTGCTCAGCACGCTGCCATTTTGTTTACAATGATGTCACAGAGGTGTTGCCAACTTAGTATTCTGAGATTTTCTTTTTGTTACACTTGCTTAAACCGGTGCTGCACGCTTGTTTGTAGGAATAAATTATATAATTAACTATATAAACTCTTTTTTTTCTAACAATTATATTAATAAAGTTGCAATAACTGAACTTGCTTTTTTTGTGTTGATTTGCTTTTTTTTTTGTTAAGTCTATATAGCCTAGGTCTAAATATAAGATCAATATTATGTTTTGTTCTGTTGTATTTGAGTCACTGGTAAAATAGTAATCCTGTAGCAGTTTCTAATATTTAGGTGATTTTGGCCAATATAGAGCGTGAAAGGATGACATAGTGACCCGCTTCTATTGAACCACGGATAAAAGAATCGGCAAGGCTATAAGCCATTTAAGAAGAAAGTCAAGCTGTAGTAGCCGTGTAAAAAAAAAACATAGAAGGAAATCCAAGTCTAGTAACTAAGTAGGCTAGTAGTGGGTCGACCTGAGAGTTAGAAGATTTGAGAAAAGTAGCGATGTAAAGAGAAGTGATTAGGTCACAGTAGAAGTCACGTGAGAAGCAATTATAAAAGTCTGTGTGAAGTAATTGACTAGTTTTATGTACTGAAACTGATGTGCTCGTCTGTAATAGTAGTTAAGTATCTGGGCAACAAGCTGCTAAGAACATGTAGATTTCATTTCACATCAAGACATATTTCATAGACAAGATATTTCGGGTGTTCATGGGCGCCCGAAGGATTTTTTACAGGGGGATGCAAGTTACCACTTATAACTCAAAGTCGTAGCTTCAATTTTTTTCCCCCGAGCATATTAAAGAAAAGAACTGGTGTTCCCTCGCCCCCCCTACCTATACGATATTAATTTCACTGTAAATGCATGACACGTAGGACGTATTCATCTTCTTTTTTGAAGTAACGTCTGTATGATATAAGATAAGTAGATAAATAGGCCTACTTGTTTCATGCTCTTGCTTCGTTTTAGGATGTAAACAAAACTGGTTGAACTGAGCATTAGTATTGCTTGAAAAGAGAGACGTTAACGAAGAAACTAACGAATCCAGATACGGACTGTAAAGCAGTGTTTTTTTAATAATCCCAAAATCCAAACACATGTTTTTTGCTTGGTGTGTCTCTTGTCGACTACAAATTATCGGCAGCACTAGTTCATTACCTAGTTTGTCTGCCAATAGTCTCGCCTTCCTCAAGATGCCATCCCTGAAGTGTTCCTAATCATGGTCAGTTTGGTTTTTGATTATGTCATTAATGTGACTACTGGTGTGCTTTTGAGTGGCCACTTATGCTAAGATGGACAGACTGCAACGTACAACACTAAAACTGGTTCAAGAACAGATGAATAATTGATTACAATTAAAACACCCATCAGAAGCACACGAGAAGCAGGCACTGATTACACATAAAGCAGTTTGTCTGGTTTCACTTATAGTAGGCCTAACTATTTTAAAATGCACCAAACATGTTGTTTTGTTTGTTCGTAAAATGTTTTACATGCTTTGGATGTTCCTTCAGAGTTGAAGATAATTACTTCCTAATCCAAACCTCTCGCAGGACGACGGGGGATGGGAGCGTGCAGGGTTTGAACCCTTGACCATCGATAAATCTGAACAACAATCCAACTCAAAGACCTTCTCAAATTGACAGCTGACTAGAATTTTTCC